AGAGAGAGAGAGTTTTCCAGCCATGCACACAGACAGATAGAGAGAGGTTACTGTGTGTGTGTGTCACAGAGAGAGAGAGAGAGAGAGAGAGAGAGAGAGAGAGAGAGAGAGAGAGAGAGAGAGAGAGAGAGAGAGGCTCTCTCTCTCTCACACACACATACACACACACACACACACCTCCTGATCAGTCGGAAAATAACGAATATGACGACACAAAAAAAATTAAAAAAAAATGCCCAAGCATTGTGACAACAGCCCCACCCCCCTGTTCGTCCCTTTCATTGGCCGCAGCTGGCTGCGGCGGGTCCACTTGTTTAATTAACATTCTGCCCACCGTCCAGTGTCTCCAGCTACATCAATCATTGCCGTTTACAAAATTGTCGTTTTCCCTGAGGCCATTACCCGGCTTCGGCTATTGAGAGCTTGCTTCGTCTGGCAACGAGTGTCGCCACCGTCTGTTCGTCCTGGTACAAGGCCCCAGACCTGCGCCTGCTGGACTGGTTGGCAATCAATATGCAGGGATGACCGCTAAAGCGTGCATCCAGCCACGGATGCATAGCCAGGTACCAAAGAAATGTCTGTAGCATCCAAACGTTTTGCAGTCCCCTTCCGGGAAAAATAAAATTAAAAAAACAATACAGTCATCAAATCACACCATTACCCTCGTCCAAACGTGTACTCAGACAACGTGCATCATCAGGTGCATGACCTGCATATGGACGTGATTTGGAGCAGGGGACAGTTGAGCAGGAACCAAGATGGGGGTATTTCAAGGTGATATTTCAAGAACTCCCAACCAAGATGGGAATTACAGAGCAGGATTCTGCGATCCCTGGCCATCACTGATACGTTTATTTGTTCCCCTTTAGTCAGCTCATAAGAAGAAAACCCCACTTTACCCCCCTCTTTTCAGAGCAGAGCAAAAGTCATAAAAATACTTGTGTTAATAATCAAATTATCCTTCGGCCTAGGTTTCAAGTTTACCCCTCCTCTGCCCGAGTACGATACCGACTTTACCCCCACTTTCGCAGGACGAAAACCCCATGTTGCCCGTATCACCGATTTATTGTGCACGAGAAAGTGGTTGGTCACCAGTTTTGCGTCTATTATCCAACACAACAGTCAAAAACTCACTCGATCACAGGACCCGGTTTCCAGCAGGTGCAGCTCCCCACCAATAGATTGCAGTCATCTAAACACGAGGTCTACTATTGGAAGACGCTCTTATCGCCAGCATGTTCTTCGTTGGAAGACGCTCTTATCGCCAGCATGTTCTTCGTTGAAAAAAAAAGAAAAAAAAAAGAAAAAGGTCTGCAGCAGCAGTCTGGAGCTCCTCACCATCTATGCTACCCCCCTTTCTTTTTTTCTTTTTTCTTTTCTTTTTTCTTTTTCCAAACAGCAGCCCGTATGGGAGATAGGGGTGCTGGTATCGTACCCCTTATTATCCACACCATCTAAGATCCCCTAAGGTCCCCATGGCATCATCTATAACATAAGGGGGGTGCAGAATTAGGCTCTGGAAAGCCACACTCAAGACCTGGCTTGAACTCATATATGATACCTCTGCAATCATTGACTCGGTGTTCACTCATTGGATTTTTTATCTCCATTCGCCCCTCTCGGACTCTCTGCAACCCCAGCGTACATCTACTCAGCGTTTGCACAATTTGTCATTCGTCCTCGTTTCCCGGAACATGCCACTGCTAGCAAACAGATACAGTTCAAATCCCCAAAAGAGATGGACAAAAAAATGATGGCTCACACAGATAACTGCTGTCAAACAGAGTACAAGTCCAATCCTGCACACACACACACACACACACACACACACACACACACACACACACA